GGGGTGACTTTTCTACTATAACCTCTAATGACCCCAAACTCATGGCCCTTTCACACCAGCATCTCCCCAAGCTCTGTTGCTTCTGAACTTGCCCTGTGCCATCTCTTCTCCTGTCTCCTCAGCTGTGTTTTGAAGTCCCGGCATCAGCTCGAGCCTGCATCCACTGCTGAGCAGATGCTGGAGCTGCTGCTTGCACAGCAACGCTGCTGTCCTGTGGCATCGTACCTCTGTGCCAGGTAGTGGCTCCCAGCACAGCAGCTGGGGATGTGAAGACAAGACCTAGGGTAAAGTAAACCATGTTTGGTCGTTAACTTTCCGGAAACAACAACAACAAAAAAAATCTTCTCTTGGTGTTCAAGTAACTACAGTAAAATTAATGTAGATACAGGCTGAGAGAAGGAAAAAGGGCAAGGTGGGGATGGCAGGAAATTGCACTGTGTTCATTAGCATATGAAGAGGGCTATATTTATACCAAGTGCAAGGAAGGCAGCATGATCTAGTGGGCATTTAGGAAGGTATTCACATTTTCACTAGACTACTGCAGAAGCTCTTCCCTAGGACTGCACGTGCCTCTGACATTGCTTTTGAAGCGACTGATGTTCCTTCTTTACCGCAGATGAACTCAAACATGCTTGAGAAAAGTCTGAAAATTCAAGAGACTTGGATTGCGCTGCTGACTTACTACCAGCTGTGTGGGCAAAATAAATCACTTCACTTTCATATGCTCAGAAACAAGGACCACAATGAAATAAAGATCTTGCCTCACAGGTTTCTTGAGACATGGATCACTTTTATCAGAGATCCTTGGATGATTAGTATAGTGTCAGTACTGATGCTACCAAAACAAAGTAATCCTCAGATGGGGAATACCATGGTTACATTGCAAAGTAAAAAGTCAGCCTTCTTACAGGCAGTAATTATGTGAGCCTGGCAGTTGATAGTGGTGATGATGTGTCCTGTTTTATGTACTTTTAGATACACAGCTCAGCCGATTGTGGATCTTGAAAGCTTAGAACTAAAAATATTGATTTATAGAGTTTCTGAACTGTCACTGAAATTTTAGGAGTGTATTTAAAAAAAGAAAAAGCTTTTATTGAACAATATTTGTCACCTTAACTGTCATTTACTGTGGAATGAGATACTCTTCAGGGTAAGAAACACTGAGAATCTGGTCAATATTTGTGTACAAAAATATATCTGAAGGTCTCTTATGTGAAAACTTACAACATTTTCACTTGAAAGGTTGAAAGTTATTACCTGTATTTCAAGTAGGATTAAATGGAAGCAAAGAAAAAGCTACCAGGAGTTTATACAGCAGTTGCGGTGGAACTGGTCTCTCGTTTGCACATCTAGCAATGCTATGGATTCAATCTGACTTAAAGGAGCAGTTTTCAGAGTACCAGAATGTAATTTTTTGTGCCAGCCACCACAGATCTGCAAGGCCTCAGACTTGGAAGGCATGTGCTTCTCTTGTGCGCCAAATGTAGCACAAGAGTCAAAATAAGATAGTATAGGTATATTTGAAACTTACTGTACTTAACGAAGACTTTCAGTCCTTGTTTATAGACATGAAGAAGAACCAGATCCAAAAAAAACTGTATTTAAATGGTTGTAGTCAGAAGTAATTAATGTTTAAAGTGACTGTATAACCATACACAGTTAACCTACATAAGTGCAGATCCTCAAGAGGTTTGTGATTAGTAGTTCACCTTGCTTCCTGCCTAATATATTGGTACCTTGAGATGTTATAAACACTATGTACTGCTAAGAATTGTTCACAGTGTGAAGGCTTCATTGCAGTAACTGATTCTTCTAACGCAAAATGGCATGTTTCCATTTCTAGAGGAAGTCATCCCTGTGTCAGGCTAAATACTGATAACCTCCCACCTCTACTTCCTACTGCTGCTTCCACCTGTAATGCTGTCATGGCAAGACCCTGCTGAGAAGGACAGGATGTGACATTGCAGGTTATAATGGCTCCTTGGTCTGCAAGGGGAACTATTACTGTGTTATGTGAGATGAATTGCCTCTTTCCAGCTAGACTCTGAGTGAAGGAATGTAATGCTGAGAGGTGTGTTAGTTCTCTGCACCACTGCTTGTGCTATCCTGGCTCAGTGAATTCAGGGCTGATTAAAGGGGCATCACTGGATCAATTCTGTAGGCTCCTTCATTTGCCCCTCTGTCTGAACGGGCCTGGCCACCCCATTCCTTGAGCGTGCCCCAGATGCACCAGGCAGGAGAATGGGCAAAGCTCACCCAAAGGCTTCCAGAGCTGCCTTTTTAAAATTTTTGGACCCATGAGCTCCCAAGAACTGTCAGTGTGGAGCAGCTCCACTGAAAAGTGTGATTCTCTGCACCTTCATATTTACAAGGCTTTCTTAGCTTGAAGTGCACTGTGGAATGCAAACACGGATTTCTCTAACCCTGAGGGTTCTCAGCCTGGTTACCCTGTGGGTATTCACCTTGCTCCTCTTCTCCTGTTTCTCCAATAAAGCTTTAGTTTGTTTCCTTTTTCTCATCCCAGACCCCCTTCTTCTTCCCGTTCTGCAGGAGCCTTGTAGCTTCTGTGCACCCCAGCTCTGCAGCTGGCGTGGGTTCTCGGGCCAGCACCCTCCCAGCTGATGGCACATCCTCAGCTGGTTGCAAAGAGAGTAGGGAAGGAGATGGGTTCAGGGGATAGGGCAGAACAAATTCAAGTATCATGTGGGAATGGCTTCTCCTGTGATGTTACACTGGTTTCTACACGTAACAAAAAAACCCTCTTTCCTCCTGGCCTGCCCTTTTCCCACTTGTTTCTTTCTTTCTTCTCCTGGCTTCAGCCTGTATCTCTTCATGGACTCTCTGAAGCCACTGTGCTTAAAAGAGAAGGCAAACTGTTTTCACCTGGGTGCCAGACTTGGATAGGTTTAGGAAAAACCTAATTCTCTCAGGGCTGTGGGTTCACCAGTATTTAAAATGATTCCAGAGCTCGTTACTGTTTCCTTAAACTGCTGAGGGTTCTGTCAGTTTGCATCCAAGATGATGACTACTGAGAGGGAGCCTGGAAAAGTTCAGGATGGAGCAGCACAGCTCCTGCTCCGGGTCCTGCCGGAGCTCCCCCAGCCCAGCTCACTGCTCCGCTCGGGAGCCCAGGAAGCCTGTGCACTGGCCTTGCCCCTGCTTGGGTGATGGAGATGAACATCCATCAGAAACAACTTTTATACACAAGAATTGTAAACAGAAAATTTAATTAACAAACTCCTGACACAGCCTGACCCTTCTCTTGTTGGAGTTAATAGCTAAACTCCCTCTGCCTTCGGCAGGGCACTGTGGGCTTTTCCATCTATAGAGTGCTCGAGCACCGAGGAAAGGACTCCTGCACGCCTGACAGCTGCAAAACTAGGGTGCTAGGAAAATGGAGCTTTATGCTCGTTTACTCTTGTCATAACAAATTCTTTCTCTTTCAATACATTCCTGAGCTCATTCTCCTGGGCTCTGCAGCCCGTTATTGAAAATCTGGCAGGAGCCTGTCTACTAAAACCAGAGGCCAAGGCATGCTCAGGAAAGTATTACAAGTATTGTATTGCATTTGTGCACATATGCTTATCAAGCAAACATGTAAATATATATTTGCACGCATCTTCTGACAGAGTTATTCATGACATGAGTGTGCATATACCCTAGATGATCTTGTTTGGAATTTTTACTAAATGCAGGACCACATACAGAGATGTTTTCTCAGTCATTACTCAGGAAAAACTCACAGCTTTAACATTATAGTGCTTATATACATGCAAAACCATAATACATCACACAGCATTTTTCTTTCAGCTCAAAAATTATAATACTTTCATTGTCACGAGACACCACAAAAAAACGTACAACTGAAGCACATTATAAATAAATTCTATTAGAAACTTTTGGACATGCATCTTCAAGTCCACTTTAAGAGACTTAATAGTTTCCTTCTCAAATGAAAAACAAGATTTTGTTTCCAGCCCAGAATTCATTAAACACCCGGTCAAATCTCTGTTCTTTCACATTTGCCACTTCTTCCCCAGTTATTTCCAGAATTTTAGAACTTTTCTGCATTTCTAATAATTCAGGATAGCCATTCCAAACTCTAAAAAGTTGTGCTTGGACAATAGCTGTCACTAACCAAACTGAGTCACCAGGATCGGAGAAGGAATTTGGGCTTGTCCAATGAAACCAAAACCACGGCCAATGTTTTGGGTTGTTAAAATAAAATCTGTAAAGTATCTAAAAGGCAGTAAAAAGTTCAGCTTTTACCTATCACTTTGATAATGCCTGATTTTACTAACAGACAGGATTTGAATATTTTTTCATTTATTTTTTAAAAGGGGCTAGAATGCTTTCTTCTTTCTTTTTCTTTCTTAACAGCATACACAAAAGCAATATCCCCCAAAGCAGACTTGCACTCGGACACGAGATGAAAAACTTATGTTTATAAAAGCCATCTCCTTTTGCTTAAAGCAGAGAGATGTGCTGAGAAACTGGTACAGTATGACAACATTTTAAACACAGAGAAGACAAGATTTATCTGGCTGGTATACAATATAAAACAAAAATCGAACACCAATGTTACAGCATTCTATTGAAACAAACCACAAATTAGATGCTTTGAAGTCAAGCCTATATTTTCTTCAGCTTTATCATGAATTATTGATCCACTTTCCTCATTAAATGGAATGGCAGGCTCTTGCAGTAAATGGACAAGTGACTACAACATTTATATAATCAAATATCCTCTGCATCTGGCAATAAAACATGTTTGTGAGTAAAACATCCTTTCTGAATTGACATCCCTGCAAAATAGATTACTAGAATAACCACATTCCTTTTCTTTTGTCTCTAAAGCACAGCTTCCCTTGCATTATCATGCAATCCAGTATTTTACACTGATCGTATTAAGCAAAATATTTTCCAAGAGCCTGTATCGTCCATTGTGCAACAGAACATTTCTTCTCTATAATGAGATGTAAATAAACTGTCTCACTTACCTTATTTTCTCCATCTCTGCCGCAGAGGCCTACGAGAAATCAAATAATAGGAGCAAGTGAATGAAAGAAAACATTCACTCTGCAGATTTATGCATAGTTAAGGCTTTCCAAATGGTTTTCGACAAGTGTCTACAAAGCGACGGTAAGCGAACCCCACATCTGCATTAGCCGAAAATAACATTGACAGATGAACTGGGGAATAATGCAGCACGCTGCAGGAGCACTGTATACCCACGAGCCATGGGCAACAGAATGACTCAGTTGTAGCGCTGAGGCAGAAAATGGGGAGGGAAGGGGGAAAAAAAAAAAGCAGCGAGCAGCAGCAAGTAACAGGTTACTCTGCCTCCTGGGTTTGGGAGGAAAAGTTGAAATGCGGTGCTCCCCTCTGCTCGGTGGGCATGGCAGCAGTGCTCTGCTGGCGGGGAAACGACAGTGACTTCATCACACGTGAGTTTTGAGTTCAATTCATCATCTTTCACAGAGCCCCGACAGATGGAAGGGACACAAGCTTGCCCCCTTAGTGGGAGTTTCGAGTAATCAAATTACTTTCCTCAAGTAATACACTATCTTGACAATTAGCATCTCAATACATGGAAGCTTTTCATTAACCCTTTCATTGCTACTCACCCAGGCTGTAGCTTAAAACTCCGGTAACTCCGCTGGTCCTGCCGCTGCAGCCAGGCTCCCATTAACCCTTAGACAGCAGCTCAGAACTCCTATAGCCCCCAATCTTTACATCCCGGCAGAGCTGTAGGTGGTCGTTTCATTAATCTGTCTGCTTTTTACCGTACGGATGCCGTAAAGCCCTACTTATCTATAGCACGGCGACTCATTAATCTCTCCGACACTACTTATATCAAAAGCACAGTCTTGTTAACCCTTTGGGTTCTTTTCATCATTATCTCGCACAGATCCTTAATAGCTGCTTCCATTTCATTTTATCACAGCGCTGGCACAGAATCTCATCAATCCTCCTGGTCCTGCTTTATTGTAACTAAGGAATGAGCACTCAGAGCAATCCTGCAATCGCTAGAGCCAGATAAATCCCAGCATCACAGAATCTCTTATTTATACCGAAGGCATTACCCATTAATCATGAACACTTTAAACCTTATTGATTAATGGCTAACAATCATATTTGAGTATGAAATAAATTAAAGATTAAAAATAGGCAAATGTAAATTTAATCAGTTAACCAGCAGGAAATTTGTCAAACTGCTTAATAAAACATCCCAAATGACAAATTGTGGGTTCTCCATTGGGTCACTCATCTTCTCTTCTTCTCATTTACTTTTGATTTGCCCATTAGGTAAGTTGTTGGTCAGGCTGGTGTTTGTATGATAATTTCTGATGATATGCATTAAGGATTTTAGGCATTGACCATAACTTGGTACGCAAGAAGCCAGCTGCAGGAAAAGCCCTCCTCAGCTTCCCAGTAATGGATATAATACATGTTTACGTGGTCTCTGCATGTCTGTTGAAAGCACAGGGTTGCCCATGGCAAATCCCAGATTAAAAATCTAATGTAGGAACCTATAATTCTTTCTCTATTTTTTTTCTATCCATTGAATCCATGCAGGAAATAGTTTAAATATTGTTCACCCGAAAATGAACCATAGGGGTGTTCTTCCTGGGCATGGGAAGTTACTAGCAGCCTCATGGGCTTCCCAGTTTGGTTTTCTGTAGACAAACTCTCAAAAACTGCGTTACTCATCATGCTCCTGTCATTTTGGGCAGGTGGGACATAGTTTTCCCCAGGGCCACTTACTACTGCTTTGCCTTGAACTGTGGCAGTCACCCATGAAGACAGAGTACTTGGAATATCTGATTTCAGTGCTTCTATTATGTCAATATGTACAGACATAAGGGGAAGCTGCCTTGCTTTTGCCTAGTGCTTTGAATATTGCTGTACTTAGGGCTTCAGAGTGGGGGTTGTTTTGTGTGATAAAGGCGCAGGATGGAGAAGAGAAGCTGTAGGCTGGCTTTCTGGCTATACTCATCTGTGATTGCAGGTGAGTCATTGGCTGCCAATCCCGACAGGAAATTAGTAGGGAAAAAAGCACAGCAAATGCTTGACACCAAAACAAACCAGAAAACTAAACCAAGCTGCAATTACTTCCGTTTGAACTATTCACTTTTTCCTCCCCCCCATGATAGGGCTTTTTTTTTAACCTCCTCAGAGTAAAAGCTACTTGTTCTGTGGAACATGGCCAATTTTCCTTTGGATCATCAGGGATGTTGTCCTCTGCCTTTCCCTGGCAGCCTGTGCAGCAAAGAGAGGGCTCCTCTCTGATGTGGGAGCGATGGGTTCAGCTCAGTTCAGCTCAAGGAAAATGTTCTGACCCAGGTCAGAGCCCTTTCTGGGCTGTGGCACTGCAACACTCCGTCACTTCTTTTGATGGGAATACGCTTTCAGCAAATAAATAGGAGCAGACGAAAGGACTAGAGTCCAGCTGTTTTTCAGGGAAATGTCCTAGCTTTAAGGCTAGAGAGTCAAATGAGCATATAGGAACTTCAGATGGTAAAAACAAAGATAAGAACATCTGTAGAAATGTACCTTTCATCCTAAGCAGTATATTTTTTTAGATAATTGTGCTCCTTAGGAAGGTCTTTTTCCCCTCCTTTTCCATCTCTTCTTCTTCTGCTGCTTCTTCTGTTTCTACCCTTTTTTTTTTCTGCATTTTTTTTCTCCAAGAAAAGCCTTAGCGTCTCAAAATTATTTCAGAAGTTGGTGGTTTTCTGAAACAACTCTGTTTTCACAAGGTGACATTTTTACTATGGCAAAATTGCTGTTTTCTAGCCAGATCCCTGCCATTGATATAGCCTGTGAAAGTTTAGAGGCTATATCATCCTCCCACTGCTGTCTATGAAGGCTCCTATCTGAAATATCCTACTGAATTGATTTTAAAATATATTCTAAACAGCTCTGAATTGGGCACTTTTAGGACCAATCTTGTTCTGCAAGTCTTGTGGGATGTATTTCAAGCAGAAAGACTGAAGTAAATGTTGGTATGAGAATGTCCTTTATGGTATGTCATTTATAAGTTGCTACCTGCTAGTGGGTTGATTTATTTCAAGTGCTTCTTGATGCCTGAACTGAGCAGTGTGATTGAAGCTGTGAGACTTTTTTTTTTTTTTAATAAAATATCTTTAATTAAGATCAGTAATTAACTTTAATCACAGAAATATCAGATTTGATTTAAATACCTTCTTTTTTTTTTTTTAACCATATCAATGCAGTGTCACTAAAGAATTTGTTTAATCAGCCTAAAAATAACAATTTTTCCTTTCAACAAAAAGGTTGACCTCAGTAATTCAATATCCTACATTTCCATTATCAGTCTAGTACTTAAAATACTGAGACTGGTTTGAGACTGATTTTCCTTTGTACAGAAGTACTTGGTGTGGCAACTTTGCCTGGAAGCACTTTCAGGCAAAGCCTAAGAGTGCTGGTAGAAACTTGACTTGTTTCCAAGTATTTAAAGAAAGCAAGTGTAAAACAGGACAAATGACAAGAGTCTCCTTTTCTGAAAGTGCTGAGCATTTGAAAGTCCATTTTGGAGCAGGTATTCAAAAGGCAAATCAGTTATCTTTTTTTTTTAAATTATCCCACCCCCTCCCTGCATATTCTAGATTGCAAGTTGATATTCTTTGACCAAAAAGTAATTTGCTGGCTTGAATGAAAGCAGGGATGCTGTTAATGGAAACTCCAGGAAATTGTACTGTGGCTTTTTTTCCCTTTAGAATATGGTTCTGTTTCAGACAGCATGACAACTTCTCAGTTGTTTTCAAGTTAGCAGAGCAAATGATAAATACTGTGATCCCCTAATGATCAAATTCTTGGATTTTTTTGTTATATGATTGCTGTCTATAGTGTTGATTTTTGAACCAAAATTTTTAAAAATAAAATATCTATCATTCTATTCAATACACCTGGTGACTGCATTGGTAAAATACTGTGGGTTTTGTTTCTTTTCCTTATTGTATTATCACTTTCTGAAGGACAAGCAATCATGAGATTTCAGATCTTCCAGATGTGTAATGAGTTTCCTTGAGGTCAGTTTTCATCCTTCTGCATCTTCCTGATACATGTGTGAAAAAGGAGGAATACCCTGGAGGTGACATTTTTTTTTCCTTATTTTTTTTTCCTTATTTTTTTTTCATTTTTTTTTTTCCTTTTTTTTTTTTTTTTTCCTTGGAAACAGGTGTTTCATTTTAGAGGGAGGCACAGGACCCAGAGTCTGGCTTAGTGCTCACTGGTCTTCCCATTGAGTTCAGTGGACTTTAGACTGGCATGTTGGTTAGTTGCTATCAAATGTATAAGAAAAGAAAGAGCAGCAGGAAATTACTACCACTCATTTAGTCTGACTGTTACGACTCTGGCTTGTTTGGTATTGTGGGATTTGCTTTTATTTCCGTTGTGAGTAGAGCTGTAAATGAGAGTTCACTCACAACTAATGTCATCCCCGACTTCTGGCACATTTGTAATCTACCACATGTTTTCAATCACAATTATTTTACTTCAGCATTTCTTTTGTGCTTGCAGTTGTATGAACGTTTTATTGATAGGAACTTCTGTGGCCATTTTCCTTTTTTTAACTATAGGGTACAAGAGTAAGAGATTTGATTTAATAAAATTTACAGACTATATAATTTGATAGGATCAATCTTCAATTAGACTCTTAATCAATTTTTAGTGATTTCTCTGTAGAGGCTTTAAAGTACCACTCAAGTGGTGCCGGAAGAAAGACTAAAATTTAATCTATAAAAACTTTAGTAGAGCTGGAGGAAATGTCCGGCTGCATTTGATTTATCTTCGTATATTGAATGTATCTAATTGCTGTTTATAAAAGAAGAATCTTTCTGTAAAAATTTTGCCTGAAATTGTCATGCAGATACAATGAAAATTGAGTCCAGTTCTCCATAGTTACAATTGTAATAGATATTTTTTTCAGAAAGCACCTCCTCCAAGCATACCTCCACACCAGGGGCCATAAAACACCTCCAGTATTCTCAGATCATCTGAAGG